AAAAGAAAAAAAAAGAAGAAAAGGAGACAAACAGCAGCCGCCACTAAAACTGTCTCCTTCTGTCTCCTTTTTGTCTCCTTTTTGTCTCCTTTCTGTCTCCTTTCTTTCTGTCTCCTTTCTGTCTCCTTTCTGTCTCCTTTCTGTCTCCTTTTTGTCTCCTTTCTGTCTCCTTTTTGTCTCCTTTTTGTCTCTTTTCTGTCTCCTTTCTGTCTCCTTTCTGTCTCCTCTTCTGTCTCTCTCCCTTTCTGTCTCTCTCCCTTTCTCTCTCTCTCCTTTTCTGTCTGTCTCTTTTTCTATCTGTCTCTCTTTCTGTCTGTCTCCTTTTGTTTTTTTTGTGTTGAGTTGCTGTCTCTCTTTTTTGTTAGCGGAGACATCTTCAGGTGTATGCAAATAAACAACTGCTGCTGTTTGTCTCCTTTTTCTTTGTTGTTTTCTTTGTCTATCTCTCTCTGTCTCTGTCTCTCTCTCTGTCTCTGTCTCTCCCTCTGTCTCTCCTTCTTTGTCTCTCTGTCTCTGTCTTTGTCTCTCTGTCTCTGTCTTTGTCTCTTTCTCTGTCTCTGTCTCTGTCTTTATCTCAGTCTCTATCCTTCTATCTCTGCCTCTGTGTCTGTCTCTGTCTTTATCTCTTTCTGTTTCTCTTTCTCTTTCTCTGTCTCTCTCTCTGTCTCTTCCTCTTTCTCTGTCTCTGTCTCTTTCTCTGTCCCTATCTCCTTCTCTTTCTCTGTCTCTGTCTCTCTCTCTGTCTCTTTCTCTGTCTCTTTCTCTGTCTCTCTCCCTGTCTCTGTCTCCTTCTCTTTCTGTTTCTCTTTCTCTTTCTCTGTCTCTTTCTCTGTCTCTGTCTCTCTCTCTCTCTCTCTCTGTCTCTGTCTCTCAGTCTGAGTTGCGTTGTCTGTCTCCTTTTCTATCTTTTTTGTTTTTTTTTGTTTTTATTTTTTTCTTTTTGTGTGTGTCTCTGTATCTCTTTCTGTTTGTCTGTCGCTCTGTCTCTGTTTCTGTCTCTGTCTCCTCTCCTTCTTTTCTTTCTTTCTTTCTTTCTGTCTCTTTTCTTTTTTCTCTTTGTCTCTCTGGCTTTACCTGTATCTATATATTTATATCTCTATCTGTCTCTATCTGTCTCTCTATCTGTCTCTGTTTGTCTCTATCTGTCTCCTTCTATCTCTATCTGTCTCTGTATCTGTCTCTGTTTGTCTCTCTCTCTGTCTCTACATCTCTCTCTTTCTTTCTCTTTCTCTCTCTTTCTCTCCCTTTCTCTCTTTCTTTCTCTCTGTCTCCTTTCTTTTGTGTCTTTCTCTCTCTCTCTATCTGCCGCCTCCCTGCACGTAGACTTATCCATTGCCTACACAAACCCTAAACCCTAAACCCAAAACCCTAAACCCTAAACCCTAAACCCTCAGGCGTAAACCCTAGGCCCAGTTATTCAGTGAGCAGAGAAGGCCCCAAGGGTTTAGGGTTTAGGGTTTAGGGTTTAGGGTTTGTGGTGTATACAGCAGAGATCGGGGTGTACGTACACCTGAACTTGCACACAGGCGCAGCAACACAACAAACCTTCATTTATATGAGTAGATATGAATATTTGTTTATAAAAATAAAACAAAAC